GGGTTTAATGTGGCCCTTCTTTAGAATAACATAGAGGTGATCACACCTTAGATATGAGCTGTGATTTTTATGTCATGAAGTCTGAAAGACCTTTTCAAAACAGCCCAGGAAAGGGCTGCAAAAATCTGCTCCAATACTGTTGTGTCAGTAAGTTCTAGCACCTTATCTATCCTTTTTTCTCCTGAAAGTGTCTTCAGTGAAAACATTGTGGGTTCTGGACATTCACTAATATTCAATTGTAAAGTTTTATTTTGAAAACTGTGTCTTATATTTCTCATGAACTGTTAAAACAGATCTTTTTGGTGGTGATTCAAAATGCATAGATGAAGAAAATATTACCCATGGGGTGACAAGTTGACAATCTGCCCAGGTGGAAAGACAGCACTGTTTTGATTGGGACAACTGTATGGGAAGCATCATAATGGCCTGAGTGCTTCCAGATCAGCTGTCAGTTTGACTTCCAGGATATGAGTTTCTGTTCCAGGATTTTCTGTAGAAAAACAAAACAGGAGTTTCTTGTATCTGAAGAGAACTAAGTGTTCCGTCAGTGCTTGTAGAGGACCTAGTCAAGCAGTTGGTGGAACAAAAGCAAGAACATCTGCCTTTCAGAAGGGTGTTCCTAGCTCCAGAGTCTAGGTCTTTATAAGAATGGCATAACTTTGCTACTTCTTCAGAAAGCTGCAGAACAGAAGCATTGAAAGCTCTCACTGTACATAATAGTCTGAATTGGTCTCTGAGGATGCTGATTGTCCCCTTTTGTCCCATCTTTTGGAAATGACTTTGATTTCTGTGTTCAGAAATTAAGTAGACATATTTCGTTCAGCTTCAGTGCAATATAGGAGGCCATGCTGTTGTAATTTTTTTTTTTTTTTAAGGATCAGTCTCCCCGGAAGTTGAAACAAACAAGCCTTTTATTTCTCTGGGACCAGTAAAAAAGGCACCAGCATCTTTCTGAAGGAAAGTAATTTTGCTGTATGCATTTCTTTTGGAAAGCTATCAAGAATTGATGAGATCAAGCCTTTTCGTTTCAAAAGGGAATTACCAGTGAATGCAGACAATAAGAAATGATGAATATGCAGTTTTCAGTGATTTGAGAGATTTGCTGATTGAAATATGCTCATGTGAATCACTAGGTTTTTGTTTTTTTAAAAAAAGGTCCATAAAACAACACTGCTTTTTTTGGATACTAAGGAATCAGGAAACTATTGTAAAAGTTAAAAGGTTTCCTGTCCCCCTGTGTGTCCCCCCGCCCCAGTATTACTGCGTATTTTTCTCTCATGAGTTCGTTGCTGATCAGCACTGGTTGACTGTCTTGTGTAACAGTGTTGTAGTATGAATTTTAGCTGTGTAACTATTTTGACCAAAACTCAGATGGTGAACTGCCTTTATACAGAGGAATAGAAAACTGTATAGAGTAAGTGCTTCGTGCTTTGCAAGATAATTGTTATTTATAGTAATGACCGCTTGTTGTTATAGTATTTTCCCAGTAGCTGAGTCCTGCTTATGTGAGCTTTGTGTATTGTAACTGCTGAACAGTAATACCATGTTCAACAGCATGTTTTAATATTATGTTTAGCTTAGTTTTGGTATAGTGTTGCTGCATGCAAAGGAATATAATCAGCTTTTTTATCAAGTGAAACAGCCTGTTTTCTCTATTTCTCCTCACCAGATGTATCTGTTTCTTTCTTTCAGAGATTTTTTTTTCTTCATGTCATAAGACAGAGCATAAAATTCTTCCTTTCCCCATATCTCCTCAAGTGACCAGGTTCAAATTTACATATACATTTTTTGAGTGGAGGCAAAATGAATGCTGTTTGATACAAATGACTTATACTGGGGGAGAAGGAAAATAGACTCATTCAGTGACAACTGTCTTCCGCCTTCTTGAAGGCAGATACTCTTGGCCCTGCCCTTTATGGTATTCCACATCAGTGATGAGCAAGCATGCCACTAGCCTTGCCTTTAGAGCAAGTCAAGTAGCCAAAATAATGGAGCAGCCTTGTCCCCAGCTTCAACACCACGCTTGTTCTTCAGTCTTCCTCCTCGTGTCCAGCTTCCTTCTTGACTTTCTGCTTGTATGGAGCAAGGATCAGCTTGTGCTGTAGTAGAGATCAGCCTATGCTGGCTGCCACATGGGTCTGAGGTATATCTGCCTTTCTGTCAGTTGGGATACTGAGTTAGAACCACCTCCTTTGTGTAGCTACTTTTTCTATAGAAAGTGTAGGAAATTATCTCAAAACTCTTCTCTTCTGTAAGACTTGCATTAGATGACCTTACGTCTTAGGTTCAGTATTATTTCAGAGAGAGCAACAAGCCAGCAGATACTACCCGCTCAAGTGGGAAATACTGTTATGAGTGTGTACTCAGTAAGTGACCTTACCTGATGATCTTTTACTATCCTCTTTTCAGCCTTCCCTCCCCTCCCTCCTGCAAATATCAGTAAGTCAGAAGTGGTTTGCAAGGGACATGCTTGAGTTCTTGCCCCATCATGCTCAAAAAAAAAAAAGAAAAAAAGAATGATCCTCTTAAATGTAGTAATTCCTTGTTCAAAGATCTGTTCAAGGATTTCTGTAGGTGTAACTTGTGAAGAGTGTCTTAATGAGTACAGCTCAGGAGGTATCCTGCAAGATACTGCTGCTTTGCCTGCAGCTCTTCCTGGAGGAAGGACCTGTGTGTAGGAGCAGTGACTAAAAACCGAGTTCCTTGTGTGCAATCTGATAAGCAATGGTCAGGGGAGGAAGAAGAGAAAGCAGCCCTTCTTCCTTGCAGACGCACCACCTGTATGTTCCAAGATGTGCAGTTAGAGCAGTCTTCTTGCACCGTTCTCCCTTCCTTTACCCCCACCTTTGCAGGAGGAAGTCTCCTGCTTTACTGTTTGCACTGAAGAGGAGGTGGTTGGGGGTAGGTCTGTGATTGCAGTGTGATGACACTGGTTGCCTTCAGGGGAACTTGGGAAGGAAGCAGGTACCAAAGTCCAGCTTTCCTGGCCCCATGGCTGCTCAGGTTAGACTGTTCTGCAGAACTAAGTTAAAGGTGGTGTGGGAAACCAGAATGTTTAGCAATTACTCTTTCTGTCATGTTTATCATGTGTAATCATGTTTAGAAACCCTGCAGGCTGATCAAAAAATCTGTCACACTATCGTAAGCTATTGCAAATTACATTATATTTTACTTTCAAGAGCAAATTACCTTTAAATATGTTCTTTTTCTAAACAGAAGCCCTATCATTACCTTCATACACCTTGAATAATAAAAATATAAAAATTTATTTCCTTTCATGTAAAGTTTAATATCTAATTCCACAGTAAGCATTAGCATTCTTAGTATTGACGTTTGTCGTGTTTACTACCTATAGGAGGTTAAATATAGTGTATATGTATTATGCTAGCTTTGTTCTGTGAGTAATTAGATCACTCTTTTGCGATATATGTATTTTCCCTCTATTGTATATATATGGGTCTGAAATAATTTATTTCTGTGTGGATGGTTCTTGCAGAGCTGTAGTTATTTTAGTACTCTTGCTGTACAACTGTTCTGTTGGTTGTTTAGATAATTCTTTGTCATCATATTTTTTGGTAATGTGAAGAACCAACCTTAGCATTGGTTGGCATACTCTGATCAATGTATAGGCAAAACAGCTCAGGTGTTAGTTATCTGCTTGAGTTAAGCTGTCGATTCCTAGTTGGGATTTGCCGCAACTGGCTGATGGCTGTTGCAGCTTTTTGTCTCCTCTGTGTTCAGATTGACAATGTATCTTTAATGCACAAGTTCATCATAGTGTTTGGAGCAAAATATGAGGGCAAAATCTGTTGTTTTCTTCACCTTAACTTTGCATTTTTAGATAAACTGCAGTCTTTTTATTAAAAAAAAATGAATTGCTCTAAACACATATTTCTTTACAGTGTTAGTGCAGATAGTCTTAGCTGAAGAGGCTAACAGTGACATGGAGTGTCCAAAGGAGTACAGGGGATGCAGAATATCCTTGAGAAATAGACCATGAGGGAATTACCTGCTCGTGAAGTCATCTCCTTGGCTCTCCACAACTCAAGGGCTCTGTGGCTTATCTGCCTGCTTGGTACCGTGGTATTGTAAGAATTGCCTTCTTGGTTTGGGGTCTCCCAATGCCATTTCTTGTTTTTCTCTTTATAAAGATAGTCAACCTCTTTATACAGTTAGTCAGAAGAATTAGAATCTGTATGTTAAGCAAGATTTCTTGCATAACTTTGCTAAGAAACATCTCTGCTGTCTCTGATGCTCTGTTTCATGTCTTCCCCTTTTGTATAACTCCTTTAGTGACATCTTTGCCTGTGATGCTTTTCCATTTTGAACATTTTTCTTAGATGAACATGCTGCTCTTTGTTTTCTGAAATTTATGTATATAGCAAGGACTTTAAATCATCTGTTGCTCAAAAAAAAAAAAAGAGCCAAACCCCCTGTATTAGTCCTGTTCTGGATTCCATCAAGCACATCAAGAAGCAGCCTTTGTGGATGGTGAAGTGTGTGTTGCTTGTAGCCAGGAAGCATGATCAAGTAGACTAACATAGAGATGAAAGCTGAACTTGTTCAGTGTTATTGAAGTGGAATAGTGGAATTAAGGAATCTCTCATCTGTGTCATGAAATCCGTTTTCTGTTGGTCTGATGTTCTGTGAGGTGGAAGTAGTTTGTAAGGTGTCTCAGGAAATTTGATAATCATCTGCTATGGAATAGCAAATTATGGGGTTTTCTTCCAAGAAGATAATCATGAGTCTAACCAAGATGAAGCAGTGAATAAGTTGATTAGAAAGCATAGTTTTGAAAAATATTTTTCTGACTAGCTCTTGTAAAGCATTTGTCTTGCTTGAAAAAATTTCTGTGCAAGAGTAAATAACCATTAATGTTTTACTTTCCTTAGTATCTGAGGAGCTCTCGTTTCTGTGAAAACAGTGAAGAAGTTTGCCAGTTTGATTTTATGTCTGCTAAAAGCCATTTTCTGCCCCCCTTTTTTGCAGGCAGGATTAGTTTGGGGATGTGAATACAATGAGTGTAAACCAGCAAGCTCACGCAGGGCCTCCTTATGGGCAACCTCAGCCTGGATATCAGGGATACCAGCAGCCTGCCTACGGAGGACAGCCATTGCCAGGGGTTCCTCAGTCGCAATATGGAGCTTACAATGGTCCAATGCCAGGATATCAACAGCCAGTCCCTCCACAAGGTACTTCTCAGTCAAAACTTAATGATTGATAACCTGTGAATTGTTGCATGTATGGATTTTTTTTCTATATATTTCCTATTGATAGTCTTTATTTTGCGGTAGCAATTATATTTTCTTTTGTATGTAGCTTACATGATGTTAAAACTCCTGTTCTTCCTGTACATTCTGAGGTTATTGTTCTGTCATTTGTCCATTTTAGTAGGGCTTACTCTTCTCTTAATAGCTCATAAAATTAACATGTTGAGAAGCACAGCCTGCTTTTTTTTGTGTATGTCCCTGCCCCCTGACTAGGACAATCTGCCTGATGAGGTTATGTTGAGGGGCAGCAGTTAGGGACTGTAACAGATTCATAACTGAGACTGCCTTACATTATTATGTAGAAAGTTCTTTGTGAAAGATTAAGACTTGCAACTCTAGGCATACAACTCCAGACAGAAAGGGTATAAGTAATTCAACTTTTTTTCCTGTTTTCAAAAGGAAGGCTAACTTAACATTATTAAAGAACTCTAGGAGTCTTTGTTTCTGAGTACCTGAATTGCTTTAGGAGATTAGTAATGACTTTAACATTTGAAATTTAGAGGAGAAAATACTATTGCTTTGAGTAGAAGTATTTCTGCCTTTCAAAATCACATGGATTAATTCAGTTCTGCTGAGATAAGCACAGTGCAAGCATTCACTCTAAAATGTTTGTTTAGACTTCAGATTGGTATTCTAAGGAAGCTAGGAATATGCTAATTATGCTAATAGTGTCTGTATTATTTTCCCCTCCAAATACATACTGAATTTTTTGCAACTTCTTGAATTTTAAACCAAACTCAGTGAGAAGTATAGAACAATTAAAGTGCCTGTAGTTGTCTTGAAACTAACAGAAGAGGGAGACGGGAATTTGTGAGCTGAATTATTATCCTGTTGGGGTTTTTGTCTGAAGTTATCAGAGTAGAAAAAGAGTTAGTGTGGTATGCTAAAGAATGGGTTATTCGGTTGCTCCATCTTCCTTTTCTTTCCTTAATCCTCTTCCTCCCCTCCTCTCAATAAATCTTGTCCAGCAACACTTTTAATCTGTGACTTCTGAACAAATTTCACAGAGGGTTTGAATTCCTGTAAAAGTAATGAAAATAGGCACTGGGCAGAGGAAAGGAATCCTGCTTCCTGGGAAGACAGAGGCAGAGTTCAGCCATTGGGTGCTCTGTTTGGCTCCTCTGTTTGGCTGCTCAATGTAGCCGTTGACTAACTAGTGTTTCCTGTCCCATGGAAGGAATGGGGAGAATTGGACTTGCTTCAGTGAGGCAGGGAAGAAGAGTCAAGGGCAAAGGTTACTACAGATTTGTTGGAGAAGTTTCATCAGTGCAGCTATTTATAGAAAACAGGTTTTGGCTGTTAGCAATGTGAAGAATGTTTAGGATGTTTGTGAAAAGAAACTGATGAGCATCTTTCTTGAGGTTCTGAAGAATTACAAGTCTGAAAAGCATTTCTTTTTAAGGGAATCAGTTTTTCCCTTCTGAATTATTTCTGGTTTGCCTTTTTTAATTTCAGAACAATAGAAATGTGGTTCATGACAGCTCAGTAAGGGCATGCCTAGAAAGCTTGGTAACATGCATATAAACTTGTGCAGATTAAAAATGCAGATTTTGTTTATGCTGGTAATGTTTGAAAGGTAGTGTGACACTAGGGGCAACAAAGTGGTCTAATTTGGAAGTAAGTGTATTCCACTGCTCTGAAGTTGTATCTTGTGTACTCTATTGATATATCAGTCAAAGGCCACCCATGGCTTGTGGAGGTTTCTCTTCCATCTTTTCTTCTGAGACCATCCTTTCTTGACTTAGCAGACTGTATAAGGAAATCTCAGTTGTCAAGTTGTGCATTTTGGACCTGTTACTGTAAATCCAGGATTGCTATCTTTAGAAGAAAGAATATAAAATTCAGAGCACTAGCACAACAGCCAGAAGTTGACCTCTTAATAGCTGCGGAGTATGACATCCAGGTGGAAAAGAGTGGCAAACAAGCAACACATTATCAAAAAGAGCAGGCAGGTGATAGTGAAGATAGTGACAGTTATCCTTTCTACCCACATCTCCAACACATTATGTTTATTGTAGGTCTTTGTAACAAGAGCTGTTGTAGCTGTATGATGTAGAGGAGAGAGAATTAATTTTAGATGCTCTTGAGTGACACGAATGTAAGTGAATGCTGAAGGGTAAAAGGAAAATTGACAATGTTATTCTGTGATAAAGTAGTTGTCCCTTGAATTTGTTTTAAAAATAACAATAAAATTGCTTGGAGGACTGAGTGGAGAAGTGTTGGGAGCAGGTGCCATCCTCAGTCAGGGAGACTTTCACATCTGATGTATGTGACAAACCCCTAGCTCTAACAGAAGCATGGGAATGCTGTGCCAGTGATGCTAGTCTTGTGTGGGATAGGAAGTGGAGTACTGTGCTGCTAGCTGAAAATAGCTGTTTCTTGCTATGAGAATGTTGAAAGAACTGGGACAATTTTGCACCAATGTTTCAGTCAGTCTGTCAGTTTCCCTCTGAGAACATGCAGTTGAAAGTCCACACACAATTATTGAACACCAGTACAATTAGGCTGCTGCTGGATTATTTTACATGGACTGTTTATGATGCTATTAATGCTTATATAAATGTTAATATATGAACTATGTTGGTAATATATGTTGTATGTGGTAGAACAGTGAGAGGGAGTATAGCTTAAGGAATAATGTGGCAAATGTGAAATGGTTTTTACATATATAACATTTTCTGCACTGCAGACTGTCCTCAGCATTGGAAACACTGTCTCTTGTGCTTTCTCTCAGGCTTGATTTACTGGTGTATTCTGTCTTTCCAGGTTACTTTCCTTCCTTGGGGTTCCCTTCGAAGGGCTCTCCGGTATCTCTCAACTCTGACAGTTCTTCTCTTGCACCTAATTTCATAGGTAAATGGTGTCCTTCTTGTGGGAGTGTTTTTGCTGTTCCACTTCTTTTGTGCCAAGTTCCCATTTAATATGGATATTTATCTCAGAGGTGTGGGTACCTGATTATTAAGGCAGAAGTGGGCGGGACGCTTCCCAATCTATTTGTTGGCAGCACTCTGGAAACATAAATAGGATATGAAGAAATAATCCTAGTAGAAATCCCTTATGTCTTCAGATTCATAGATAAAAACCTGACTTGTGACTAATGTTTTCTGAAGACTGATTTCAAAACCTGAATTGGCCTGTTCAGGGTCTGTCAGGGAGGATCTTTAGTTTAAAAGAATGCAGTCTGCCACCTGAGAGAGAACTAAAATGTAAGGTTTGAAATTACAGCATTGAAGAAAAGAAAAATCTCCCGAAGCACCAGGAGATTGTTTTTGGAAGTAATGAGATAGATATTGGTAACTTGTGCTTTCACTTAAGGGAAAAAAGTTTTTCGTTTCCTTGGCTATAGCGTAGAAACAAAATATATGTTAGGAATAATTATGATTCCAAAGGCTGCAACTGGAAGAAGGAAATACTTTTACAAAGCTGGCAATCACGATGTAAGAGTTAGAAACACTACAAGAAATCATACTGTATTTTCCCTTCATTCCAACTAGTGGTATTTTGGAAGAGCTATTTCTAGTGGTGTCAATTTGTTAGAAGAGTAGGTAGTCAGAACTGAGCCAAGACTGTATAGTCTCAAGGATTTCAGTATTCACAGGTATTTCCTGTTTTGCTGTAATCTACCTCCGTTTTGAGTTCTGTGATGAGTAAGAACAATATCTCAAAGATGTTGAAGGGAAATTTCAGGATTCCTCAAGAGTAATGAATCTTAAAATAATAAACCACTAGATATTCATATCTGCTCAAGTGAATTTTTTTCAGTGGCTATTGAGCACTCTCGTAATGGTTACAGAATTATATTTGTAGACAAGAACTAGAAAAAGAAGACTTCATGAGCTTTTCCTGAAGTAAGCATGTATTTGTCAAATTGTATGTCTGTTAATGTTGAGGGGGAAAAAGTTAATGTGAAAGAAAAAAGTGTAGGATCCCTCCAGGAACTGGATTAAATATGCTTTCAAAGACAAAAGATAACAATGCCAGTTTACATGTACTGTCAAAGGAAAGAGATTCCAAAATAGATGAAAGTGTATCTAATTAACTGAAAAGGTATAACAAAAAACATTAAAGTATAGAAATACCACACAACATACAGATAGTTAAAGATTGGAAAATGCTTGAGGAACAGTAAGATAAGGTGCAGGAACAGTAGTTAAGAAAAGATGAAATTTAATGAGATGAAGGTATATAGAAATAAGAAATGTCTCAGAAATAATTAAGTCCTAGTTCTCAAAATGAAGAACAGGAGCAGGTTTAGTAATAAAGAAGAAAGCCCCAAGAAATTACTGGTTATTCACAGAATCACAGAATGTTAGAG